AAGCAGTGTGCTAGGTAGGGCAGACGCATGTGAACACCGCCAGTGGGACCTGAGGTGGAGCACCCTATGTGGCCACGAAGCGCCGTACTGTGTGGGAGAGACGCATGTGGACACCGCCAGTGGGACCTGAGGTGGAGCACCCTATATGGCCACGAAGCGCTGTGCTGGGTGGGGGAGACGCACGTGGACACCGCCACTGGGACTTTAGGTGGAGCTCCCTATCGAGCCACGAAGCGCTGTGCTGGATGGGGGAGACCCATGTGGACACCGCCACTGGGACCTTAGGTGGAGCCCCCCGTGGCCACGAAACGCTCTGCTGGGTGGGGGAAACGCCTGTGGGCACCGCCACTGGGGCCTTAGGTGGAGCTCCGTATGGAGCCACGCAGCGCGGTGTTGGGTGGGAGAGACGCACGTGGACACCGCCGCTGGGACCTTAGGTGGAGCTCCCTATGAGGCCACGAAGCACTGTGCTAGGTAGGGCAGACGCATGTGAACACCGCCAGTGGGACCTGAGGTGGAGCACCCTATGTGGCCACGAAGCGCCGTACTGTGTGGGAGAGGCGCATGTGGACACCGCCAGTGGGACCTGAGGTGGAGCACCCTATATGGCCACGAAGCGCTGTGCTGGGTGGGGGAGACGCACGTGGACACCGCCACTGGGACTTTAGGTGGAGTTTCCTATGGGGCCACGAAGCGCTGTGCTGGGTGGGGGAGACCCATGTGGACACCGCCACTGCGACTTTAGGTAGAATTCCCTATGGAGCCACGAAGCGCTGTTGGGTGGGGCAGACGTATGTGGACACCGCCACTGGGGCTTTAGGTGGAGCACCCTATGGAGCCACGAAACGCAACACTGGGTGGGGGAGACGGATGTGGACACCGCCACTGGGGCTTTAGGTGGAGAACCCTATGGGGCCACGAAACGCAATACTGGGTGGGGGAGACGGATGTGGACACCGCCACTGGGACCTTATGTGGAGCTTCCTATGTGGCCACGAAACGCTGAGGACATGCGCAGGGCAGAGGCAGGGATGGGAGGAGGGAGGAGGGGGAGGAGGAAGGAAGGAGGGAGGGAAGGAAGGAGGGAGGGAAGGAACGCGGGAACCGTTTCTTCAAAACGAGGACCCAACACCACAAGATGGCCGGGAAAAACCTAGACAATAGAAACTCTCACCGGGGGGTGTTTGTGGAAACTCGGGCGAACAAGCCCAGTCCCGAGAGTTGAGATTCCGGAAACTCGCAAAAACCAAAGCTGCCCCCGAAATCCTAGAAAAACGAACCTGGGCCTGGGGTGTGGAGTTTCCGGAAACCATGGAAAAAACTGACCCGAGCTCGGGGTCCTGGACAAACCGACCTGGGCCATGGGTTCGGAATGTTCGAGAAACCCTGGCAAACGTCTACGCGGGTCCGACAGCTTCTCCTGGTCGGGGGTTGGAATTTCCCGAAACCCTGGAAGAACTAACCCGGGCCCATTGTTTGGAGTGTCCCAAACCGTGGATCAACTAAACTGGCCCCGAGGTTTGGACTTTCCCGAAATCCTGGAAAAACCAACCCAAGCGCGGGGTTTGGAATTTCCTGCAACCCTCGAAAACATGACCCTGGCCCTGGGTTGGGAGCTTTCCAAGAACACTTGCAAAAGTCTACGCGGGCCCGCCGGCTTCACCTGGTCACTGGAAAACCTAACCTGGGTCCGAGCTTCGGAGTTTTCCAGAAACGCTGACAAAACTCTACGCGGTTCCGACAGCTTGCGCTAGTCGGGGCTTGGAGTTTCCCGAAACCCTGGAAAAACTACCCCAGGTCTGGGTTCTGGAGTTTCCCGAACCAAACCCAACCTGGAGGTCGGGTTTGGACTTTCCCGAAACCCTGGAATAACTAACCCTGGCGCGGGGTTTGGAGGTTCCCGAAACCTTGGAAAACTAACCTGGGCCCAGGCTTCCGAGCTACCCCAAAACCCTGACAAAACTGCACGCGGGTCCACCAGCTTCCCCTGGTCGGGGTTTGGAATTGGGCCCGGGTTTGGGAGTTTTGCAGTTTTCCAGAAACCCAGAATAACCAAACCCGACCCAGAGGTGTTGATTTCTGCGAGACGGTACTAACTTGCACGCGTGGCTGATTCGCTTCTGAGGCCTCAAAGACGGCTCCACGATGGCCCAAGAGAGCCCAACGAGGTCCACAAGAAGACTCCAAGATGGCCCCCGGAGCGCCCAGAAGCGCCTCAAGAGCACCGCAAGAGGTGTTGTTGGGGCCTCCGGCTGGGGTAGTGTCAAGGACCCCCCCAAGAAGCCCAAATGGCTCTGAAACCTAAGAAGGAAAATCCATGTTTTGTTTACCTTCTCGCCTTTGCGCTTCCGATGGGCTCCTGAGGCCTAACGATGGCTCCAAGACGGCCTAAGAGAGCCCCAAGAGGGCCCGAAGAGGGCTCCAAGAAGGCCCCAAGAGCGCCCAAGAGCGCCCCAAAAACGCCCCAAGACGCCATTTTTGAGCCTCCGATGGGGGGTGCTGAATCCCCCCCTCTTGTTGAATCATTAGGGCCAAGAGGGCCCCAAGAGGCCTCCCAGACCCCCCCAACGAACCCCAAGAGGGCCCTAAGCGAGCCCCAAGATGGCTCTAAGAGGCCTCCGAAAAAATGCTTCCAAGGCGGTTGTTACACTGCACGCTTCTACACTTCCCTGATCAAGGCAACTCGCCTGGCGATCTGCTTCTGGATGGGCTGGTAGGGATATTTTTTGGGGGGGGGGTCGCGGGCAGACGCGTGAAGCTGTCGCCGAGAGGGGGGTCCGGGGCACGGGCCAGCCGAATTAGCTACTGAGCGACGCGCAGCTGGTAGGGATACTTGTTCTTCGGTCGCGTCCGCTAGCGAAGGCGCTAGCGGAGTCAGAAGCGCTCCGGAACACGGAAGCGGCCTAATTAGCTACTAAACGCGCCGCAGGCCGGCCGGCCCACTCACCAAGCAGCGGCAGGCTGCGCGGGGGAGATGGCTAGCTGAGGGCGTCCAGGCGAGCTCGGGCACTTGCAGCCCAGCAAAATGCTGGACAATTAAGGTTGTGCCGTGAGACAAGACCCACTCGAAGCACGAGGACGAGTGCGGCGATGACTGCGTGTCCAACATGCCCGCTGGGCGTCCAGGGGTGGTAAGCGATGGGCGAGTTGCCAGTGGGGCGCCAAGCCCAGGACTGGTAGGGATACGCGAATCGTCAAGAATTTGAGCCCCTCTCTGATTCGCCCAAAACCGAAGCCGTTGAAACACCGTATGTGTGTTGACAGATCCTGGCATTTCCCGGGCAGTCGTGGGAGGAGTTTGGGCAAATATGGCTCAAAGATGGCTCAAGATGGCCTCCCATATCGCACAAGATAGCCCAATATGGCTCAAGATAGCCTCCAGCATACCTCCAATAGGCCTCAAGACCACCCCAAGACGGCTCCAAGTTGTCACGGAACCTTCCAAGGACGCTCCTAGAAGGCCCAAACCATCCCAACGCCGATGGAACTACATGATGTTGGCCTTCTCGCCTTTTCGCTTCCGACGGGCCTTCGGAGCCTCCAGATTGCTTCAAGATCGCCCGAGAAAACCCACGAGGAGCCCAAGAAGGCTCCAAGACGGCCCAAGAGCACCCCAAGAGCGCCCCAAGAGACGATTTGTCGGTCTCCAGCGGGGGGCCGCAATAAGCACCGTCCCCTTTTTTATATCATTTACCTCCAAATAACACCCCAGTGCCCCAATGAGGGCCCCAAGAGAGCCCCAACTGCCTCCAAAATGGCCCGAAAAAGGACCCCAAGATGACCCAAATGAGCTGCCAAAGGGCTCCCGTATCGAAGCGGAAACATTATGACTGACTCCTGGGTCCACCCCGGCTGACCCCCAAGCTTCGGTTTGACGGCTGCCCCCACTCGTTGTCCTACTGCTTGCCACTACGCTTCCCCGATCAATGTAGCTCGCCTGGTGGGGATACGTTTTTTAGTCAGCGGCCGCAGGCGAGCGCGCCAGCGGCGAGTCCAGTCAGAGCGGGGCGCGCAACGACGAATTCGTTCCTGGTGGGGATACTTTTTTGGCCGGCGGCTCCGAGGCGGCGGACAGGGAGCGGAAGGCGTCGTCTGGGCCAGCAGGCGAGGCTAATTAGCTACAACAGGCAACACACCTGCAGTAATAAAACGCAAAGAAAGCGCATGTGCACGCGGAGCATAAAGAATTGGGACCTCTGCAGAAGAGAGGCAAGGCCAGGGACAGGTCAGCGCAAGGACGGAAAGAGGTTGCTCTCTGCCTCTCCGCCCTTCCTCCCGAAGACATCGGCGGCACTTGCCACCCCCATCAGCCGCCCCTGGAGTGTCCACGAGGCCAGTGAATCTCTTCTTACACCTCCTCCTCCTCCTCATCATCATCATCATCATCATCATCAGCAGCATCATCATCGTCATCAGCTGCAGCAGCATCATCACCACCACCACCATCACCATCATCGTCATCATCGCCATCACCATCACCGTCACCATGACCATGACCATGACCATCACCATGACCATCACCATCACCATCATCATCATCATCATCATCATCATCATCATCATCATCATCATCATCATCACCATAGTCATCACCATAATCAATCAGCATAATCTTCATCATCAGCAGCAGCCACATCATCATCATCATCAGCAACAGCATCATCATCGTCACCGTCACCACCACCATCATCATCACCATCACCATCACCATCCTCATCCTCATCCTCATCCTCATCCTCATCCTCGTCGTCATCGTCGTCGTCATCATCAGCATCAGCACCAGCACCAGCATCAGCATCAGCATCAGCATCAGCATCAGCATCAGCATCAGCATCAGCATCAGCATCATCAGCATCATCATCATCATCATCATCATCGTCATCATCATATTTTTCCTCATCTGCCTACTCCTCCTCAGCTGTAGCCACTGCTGTCCCCTATCTTCCTCCGCCTCCGCCTCCGCCTCCTCCACCTCTTCGTGGAAAGCCTCGGCCGAGCTCCTCTGGGAGGTCCACCGACGCCACGGACCCAGAGCTTCCACGGTGCGTCATGCTCCACGTCTCCGAAAACTCCGGCAAGGACCCAGAGCTTCCTCGGGGACGTCGAAGGGGGCGTTCAAGAGGGGGGTCTGCAAATCATGGGCGGCGGCATGTGCGCGGGCGAGGGGGGGCTAGGGGACGTATTGAAATGAGAAGAGGCACCCTGAACCTTGGGAGATATCAGGGCCCTGGCCATGATATCCACCCCTCCTTATAGTCAACCCTGATAGGAAGGATGATCGACTTCTAAAGGGTATCCTTGCATCCTTGCCTTTTCGGTCATCTTCGGTCCATCCTCAACCTTTTTCGATAGCCAGCCCCGCTCGAAGAGCTTCGTCATGGGCGCCCAAGGCCTTTGCATCCTTACCGCGCATCCTTACTATACGGGTTGACTGTAGTCACTACCCCTTCTTGGCCGCCCCCAACTTCCACGGCGCGTCACCTCCGGCATTGAGCCGGAGCTTCCGCGGTGCGGCATGCCCCACGCCGCCGAGAACTCCAGCCCCTCCAGGGAGGACGAGGGGGGAGGCGGGAGCGGCGGAAGAAGCAAGAAAGGAAGAGGAGCAGGAGAAGGAGGAGGAGGACCAGTGCAAACCCACGAGTCATCAGCGATGCTGGAGCGAACCCTCCCTCCAAGCTCCCTCTTCATAGGCCCCATACAACGGCTCATTTCCATTGATGGAACTGCCTCGTTGGAAGACACCCGTTTGAAGACCCTGAAGCATGCCCAAACATTGATATCGGGATCCCAACACCACGGATCAACCTGACTGTTGCGTCTTGGCGATCCTGAACCGTGCCAGAACGCCATTCCTAGGACTTCAACGCAGAGAATCAACGCAACTGTTGCACCCGCGTAATCCTGAAGCCTTCCAAGACACAATTTCTGGTACGCTGATGATGGGAATCCGTGAAACCCAAGCAAATTTTCAAAACGAATGTGCGCGGCGCTAAAGCGAGAGCCACATGTTGAAAAGGAACCGCCCTCAATCCGTGAAGCTCTTGCAATTTGTTAAAACGATTGAGCGCGGCGCTAAAGCAAGAACCACATTTTGAAAACCACTCGCCCTCAATCCGTGAAACGCTAAACGAATGTGCGACGCGCTAAGGCAAGAGCCACATGTTGAAAACAACCCGCAATCCGTGAAATTCTTGCAAATTGTTCAAATGAGTATGCGCCGCGCCACAGCGAAAATCACATTTTGAAAACCACTCGCCATCAATGCGTGAAGCTCTTGCAAACTATCTGAACGAATGTGCGCCGCGCTAAGGCGAGAGCCACATTTTGAAAACGACCCGCCCTCCATCTGTGAAACTGTTGCCAACTTTGAAACTTCTTCAGAATCATATATGGTGAGGACGTCTCGGCGAAACGCCCGGCACGCCTTAAAAAATGGCCTCGGGGTGCGACAGGGAAACATTACTTATAAGGAAATGGAGGGGGGGAGGAGGAGGAGGAGGAGGAGGAGGAGGAGGAGGAGGAGGAGGAGCAGGATGGCGATGGAGGATGGAGGAGGGGGAAGAGAGAGGGGGGCAGGGAAGGAGGGAGGAAGGGATGGAGGGAGAAAGAGGAGGAGGAGGAGGAGGAGGAGGAGGAGGAGGAGGAGGAGGAGGAGGAGGAGCAGGAGCAGGAGCAGGAGCAGGAGAAGCAGGGGGAGTAGAGACGAGGAGGAGGAGGAGGAGGAGGGAGAAGAACAGGCAGGAGCTGGAGTAGGACGAGCAGAGCAGGAGAAGGAGCCTCGGAAGCTGTGGACAGGGGCACGCGGCCACCCTTGCCCGTCTGCACCATCTAGGAGACATTCGTCGAGGCCGCTGGCCCTATCCCACCCCCACGTGCTCCCTTGTAGTGGCGCGCCAAACGGCCGTCGTCGTCCGCTCCAGGATACAGGAGCAAACCGTCCAGGATTTAGGAAGAGGCCTGCAGAACGGAAGTCGAACCTCCTTTTGAGGATGTTGGAGCCTCTGAGAGTCGAACCTCCATTTGAAAGTTTGGAAGTGGAACCTCCATTTGGAAGTCGACCCTCCATGTGGAAGATTGTGGAAGTCGAACCTCGGTTTGGAAGTCGAAACTCCATTTGGATAATTTCGAATTAGAAACCTCCTTTGGGACCTGGATCTCATGACGTCGCGCCCTCGTGTCCCGCGAGGCGTGGCTACCCTCGTGCCCTCGAGCCGCGCCCCTGGAGAACCGCGAAACGCGAGGCGCAACTACCTTCCAGAACGCCGGAATCGGTGGTTCAAAGATGGGGTCCTGAGGGATGGGGTCCTGAGGACGAGGTGCCTCAAGCAAATCCACCCGTGGATCCCTTCCTATCCTTAGGACCTCATACCTCAGGACCCCATCTTTGAACCACCAAGGGGAGGGGATTGGGCTGGCGGGCGCAACGTTGGTCTCTGAACCGCCATCGGCATCCACACGAACATCGGCGCTACCGGCTGCATCTGGTGCGCCTGGTGCACCTTCCCCTTTCCCTCCTCTTCCTCCTACTCCTCTTCCTCCTCCGTTCCCACATCCACCTTCACCTTCACCTTCACCTCATCCTCCTCCTCCACCTCCACACCCTCTTCACCTCCACTTCCATCTCCTCCTCCTCCTCCTCCTCCTCCTCCTCCTCCTCCACTTCCTCCTCCTCGCCCTCGTCCTCCTATCGCTTGTTTCCCGATCACCGTCCTCGTCTTGCGTGCGGTTGCGGGGGCCGAAGGTGTCCTTCTCTACGTGCACCGATTCAGCACAATATCTGGATGATGCTTTACTCCACCCAATCGGTCCCGCGGACATCGATACCGTGCTGGCCCTGTCCCCACAATGCCGGTATTCTGCCTGATGCTGCTGCGCGTCCCTGTGCTCGCACGGCAGCTGTGATTGAACCACGTTTCTTAAGCATGGTCACCCGCTTGTGCCATCCTGAGCTGATCGTGCTGTCTGGGGACGGTGCGATTGCCCCCGCTTGGGATGGCGTCGCATTGCGTTGAGATTCGTCGAGCCTTGCGGCGTTCTCTGCCAGCATCGGGCATCCATCTCTCTTCCTTGTAGCTAATTCCTCTCTATTCCTCTGGCTCGCACCACCAGACGTGTCCGTGGGCTGGACCTGGCGCTTCGCTTACGCAGTATCCTGAAGCAAACAACTATCCAAGACTCACACGGATGTGGGGCCGGTGGCTTTCCAAAATGTGAATGTCGCCTTACCCTGCCCAACAGCTCCAACAGCTAAAGATAGAGGCTGGTTCATTTACAAAATGCAACAATCGCTGGGAACTCTCTTTCGTTGTACGACCCGAGTTTTCGACTTGTTACACGGATGGAGAGAGGCTCCTTTTCGAGCTGAGGGTCTTGCGTGAGACCTGTGCGGTTTCCATGACCAGACAATTGATATTTTCTATACCTTAAACGGATGGAGGTCGGGTCCGGGCGTTCAGCATTCAAGGGGGGCGCTTCCGGCAATAGAAAGGAACACCTGCAGGGACTCATGAGGGGACTTGGGGAGGGAAGGTGTATTGCAAGTTGATGCGTCCTGGGCTAACTCTGGTCCTCCTCCTCCTCCTCCTCCTCCTCCTCCTCCTCCTCCACCTCTGCCTCCTCCTCACATGGGCCGCTTACACGCGAGAGCGACCCTGGGTAAGAGTGGTCTTTGGTGCGCGTCTTTGGGGGGGCCGCGGGGGGACCAAACCCAAGCGCGCAAGACGCTGCTATCGTTAGAAAGTCCAGGGTTCGATAAAGACTGGCTTCCTTTCGAAACAGCCGAAACCCTCCCGAAACCCTCCGAAAACCTTCTGGGAAGGCGCCCTGGAGGGTTTCTGGAGGGTTTGGGAGGGCTTTGTTTGGAAGGGTTTTCGTCGCTTTGGACGGAAACCAGTCCCCAGCGAACCCCGGGCTTTCTCATGCTCTCGCATCGCGTTCGGCGATCGGGGGCGCCCGATGGGCCCGCACCAGAGGCCACTCCAGCGAAGGGCCACTCTTGCGCCTCGTCGGCGGCACGCAAGAGTGACCCTGGGCAAGAGTGACCTTTGGTGCGCGGCCTTTGGGGGGCCCGAGGAGGCCAGACACAAGCGCGCAAGACGCTGCTGTCGCACCGCACGCGGCGATCGGGGGACCCCCGATGGGCGCGCACCAGAGGCCAGGCGCGGCCAGCTGAGCTTTTTGTTCGTTCCCTTCGGTCTTCCTTCGGGGGCTGCGGCTCGCAGGCCGGAGGGGTTTTGGTACGCAGGATCCGTGGAGGCCGTCTTGGGACCCCACAGGGCTTGGGCGTTGCTTAATGGGGGGGTCACAAATGGGGGGGTCAGAAACGGTCCCCTTTCGTGCCCCTTTCGGGCCCCTCCGAGGCCCCAGGGGGCTCGTTTGGGTACCGTTTGGGTACCTTTTCGGACCACCCTCGCCACCCCCCCATTTACGACCCCCCCATTGCGCAACGCCCAAACCCCACAGGGCGCGCACCAGAGGCCACTCCGGCGCAGGGCCACTCTTGCGCCCCGTCGAGCACGGGGCACCTGCGGATGGCTCCAGGGCACGCCGTGGGCGGCCGGCGCGCTCCAGAAGGCCACGGGCACGGGCTGCGCGGCCGCCGCGCTGTGCTGCATGGCTCTTCCGGGCTGGACGGGCGCGCTCCGCTGCTCGCAGAGTAGCTGCAGTGGAGCGCTGGTCCACAAGAAACCTTCCGCGAGAAACCCAGCCCTGAGACCCCAGGGCGTCCGCGGATTTCTGGTGTGGGGACGTCACGCTTTCCATGGCAGAACCATGGAAGCCCAAGAAACCCAGGGCACCCTGGAGGCAAGCAGGGTGTTTCTTGGCATGGGTTTTCACTGCACCTGGATCCGCCGCGGGGTATTTGCGATCCGCTGCATCGAGGCAGACATGGTTTGTTTTCCCCCCTGCGGACGTTTGCGAGTAGGCACTTTGCGCTTTTTTCGAGTAATGGAGCGCGCTCGGTGATAGACCTCAGGAGGATGGATTTGTTCCGTCCTGG